ACTTGGATTTTGGCTCATAACTCAGAGCAAAAAATCGATCGAGCGATGGCTCGTATCTCGAAAAACTTGTATGTTGGGGCACTCATAAGTACAGTATTGATTTTGTGTCCTTAACAGTAAAACTAATATAAATACCATGATAATGGTAGATATTTATTCAGGCACTAGAATTTCATTCAGTCATATCTTGTTATTTAGTCACGTTGCAACAGAAGAGAGACATGGAGCAGCATCTTTTGGTATTGGTTGAGAATCTGATTAAAAATGGATGCTGTCACAATTGCTATATACAGGTGAAAATGAAAATGGCATATTTGATAGAGAAACTGCAGAGGTTAGTAGACGTGTTTTTAAGGATGTAGACCCCTCAAGGAAGGTTCCTTGATGTTGGTGAGGGGCTCTTGATTTAGGGAATTGGATCTGTGCTCCAGTTCCCCGAATTAAGCCTGAATGCCTTCCACATCCCCCCTAGGCGCTGTATAATCCTCCGGGTTTAGCGCTTCCCCCATGATTATAATAATAATAATAATAAGGATGTAGAAAAGAAGGAAGTTATAAGTGAATGTAGAAAAAATAAGGTAATAAGTATATAGTATATAATAAGTATATAGTGAGGCTCAAGTTAGAGTATGTAGGAAAGAGGGAAATTATTTCCCAGTAAAAGTAGGCCTTAGACAAGGATGTGTGATGTCACCGTGGTTGTTTAATATATTTATAGATGGGGTTGTAAGAGAAGTAAATGCGAGGGTCTTGGCAAGAGGTGTGGAGTTAAAAGATAAAGAATCACACATAAAGTGGGAGTTGTCACAGTTGCTCTTTGCTGATGACACTGTGCTCTTTGGAGATTCTGAAGAGAAGTTGCAGAGATTGGTGGATGAATTTGGTAGGGTATGCAAAAGAAGAAAATTAAAAGTGAATACAGGAAAGAGTAAGGTTATGAGGATAACAAAAAGATTAGGTGATGAAAGATTGGATATCAGATTGGAGGGAGAGGGGATGGAGGAGGTGAATGTATTCAGATATTTGGGAGTGGACGTGTCAGCGGATGGGTCTATGAAAGATGAGGTGAATCATAGAATTGATGAGGGGAAAAGGGTGAGTGGTGCACTTAGGAGTCTGTTGAGACAAAGAACTTTGTCCTTGGAGGCAAAGAGGGAAATGTATGAGAGTATAGTTTTACCAACGCTCTTATATGGGTGTGAAGCATGGGTGATGAATGTTTCAGCGAGGAGAAGGCTGGAGGTAGTGGAGATGTCATGTCTGAGGGCAATGTGTGGTGTGAATATAATGCAGAGAATTCGTAGTTTGGAAGTTAGGAGGAGGTGCAGGATTACCAAAACTGTTGTCCAGAGGGCTGAGGAAGGGTTGAGGTGATTCGGACATGTAGAGAGAATGGAGTGAAACAGAATGACTTCAAGAGTGTATCAATCTGTAGTGGAAGGAAGGCGGGTAGGGGTTGGCCTAGGAAAGGTTGGAGGGAGGGGTAAAGGAGGTTTTGTGTGCGAGGGGCTTGGACTTCCAGCAGGCATGCGTGAGCGTGTTTGATAGGAGTGAATGGAGACAAATGGTTTTTAATACTTGACGTGCTGTTGGAGTGTGAGCAAAGTAACATTTATGAAGGGGTTCAGGGAAACCGGCAGGTCGGACTTGAGTCCTGGAGATGGGAAGTACAGTGCCTGCACTCTGAAGGAGGGGTGTTAATGTTGCAGTTTAAAAACTGTAGTGTAAAGCACCCTTCTGGCAAGACAGTGATGGAGTGAATGATGGTGAAAGTTTTTCTTTTTTGGGCCACCCTGCCTTGGTGGGAATCGGCCAGTGTGATAATAATAAAAAAAATAAGTATATATTATAAGAAAAGCAGAGTATATGGAGAGTAAAAGAAAGGTGAAGAGAGGGTGAGAGAGTGCAAAAGGAGAGCAGATGATAGAGTGGGAGAGGCACTGTCAAGAAATTTTAATGAAAATAAGAAAAAACTTTGGAGTATTAAAAAGTAAAAGCCTGGGGAAAGTAGGGTTTTGTCATTAAAACAGAGTGGGGGAGTTATAGAGGGGAGAGGGAGTATTGGAGATGGCGAGAATTTTTGAGGAATTTTAAATTTTGGGAAAAAAGCGGGGCGGTAATTCATGCACTGGTGGGGAGGTATCCCATTTTTTAGGAGTGAAGAAGAGCAAATAAAAATGTGGGGGGGGTACGCGAGGATTACGTAGAATGAAAGGGAAAAGCACGGAACTGGGGGACAGCAGAAATGAAAAAGCAGGGGGGGTTATTTTTGGAGTGGTTGGTATTTTGTTTAAAAAATGATGAAAGGGGGGAATACCTGGGGATTGGGGGAGAGAGTTACCCTTTAAAAAGGGAAAAAGGGGCAAAAAGATTGAAAAATTATAGAGGAATAAGTTTTGATTACCAGGAAAAGGTACGTGGGGTTATAATTAAAAGAATTAGAGGAAAGACAGAAAGTAGGATTGGGAGGGCAAGGAGTTTCAGAGTGGGTAGGGGATGTGTAGACAAGTGTTTACATTGAAGATATAGTAACAGATTTTTGATAAAGGTAGGGGGTTTTTATGCATTTATGGATTTAAAAAGGCATTATAGAGTGGATAGGGGAGCAATGTGGAGATGTTTCAAGTATATGGGGGAAAAGGGGTAAGTTTCTAAATGCGTAAAGAGTTTTTATGAGGTAGTAGGCTCAGGTTTGGGTGCTAGAAGAGAGGGAGACTACTTCCTGGTAAAGTAGGTCTTGACAAGGGGTTAATGTCACCATGGTTGTTTAATATATTTATAGATGGGGTTGAAAAAGTAAATGCTAGGGTTTTTCGGGAGGGGGGGGGATTAAAATTTTGGGAAACAAATTCAAAAAATGGGGAATTAACACATTTTCTTTTTTTCTGATGTACTGCCTTTTGGGGAAATTTTAAAGAAAAATTTTTAAAGGTTAGTGGAGAGTTTGGGAATGTTGTAAAGGTAGAAAGTTTAAAGTGAACATAGAAAAGAGTAGGTGATGAGGGTATCAAATGATTTAGATAAGAAAAATTGGTTATCAAATTGAGAGGAGAGTATGAAGAAGTAAATGTTTTCAGATACTTGGGAGTTGACTGTCGACTGATATTTATGAAGGATGAGGTTAATCATAGAATTGATGAGGGAAAAATGTGAGTGGTGCATTGGGGTATATGTCGATCAAAAAACGTTTTATGGAGGCAAAGAAGGGAATGTAGAAACGTATAGTAGTACCAACACCTTATATGGTTGTGAAGCTTGGTGGTAAATGCAGCAGCGAGGAGACAGTTGAGCAGTGGATGATGTCCTATCTAAGGGCATGTGGGTAAATATTATTCAGAAAATTCGGAGTGTGAAAATTAGGAAAAGGATGTGGAGTTAATAAAAGTAATTAGTCAGAGGGCAGAAGAGGGGTTGTGAGATGGTTTGGTCATTTAGAGAGAATGGATCAAAGTAGAATGACAGGGGATCCATATAAATCTATAGGGGAAGGAAGGTGAGGTAGGGGTCGTCCTCGAAAGGGTTGGAGAGGGGGGGTAAAGGAGGTTTTGTGGGCAAGGGGCTTGGACTTCCAGCAAGCGTGCATGAGCGTGTTAGATAGGAGTGAATGGAGACGAATCATACTTGGGACTGACGATCTCCTGGTCTCAGACCGGGCCCCCGGGGGCGTTGACCCCCGGGAACTCTCTCCAGGTAATCTGTTGGATGTGAGCAGGGTAATATTTAGTGAAAGGTTCAGGGAAACCGGTTATTTTCATATAGTCGGACTTGAGTCCTGGAAATGGGAAGTACAATGCCTGCACTTTAAAGGAGGAGTTTGGGATATTGGCAGTTTGGAGGGATGTGTTGTGTATCTTTATACTATATGCTTCTAAACTGTTGTATTCTGAGCACCTCTGCAAAAAAACAGTGATTATGTGTGAGTGTGGTGAAAGTGTTGAATGATGATGAAAGCATTTTCTTTTTGGGGATTTTCTTTCTTTTTTGGGTCACCCTGCCTCGGTGGGAGACGGCCGACTTGTTGGAAAAAAAAAAATTACTAAATTTAAAAGGAGAAACTTTCGTTTTCCTTTTGGGCCACCCCACCTCGGTGGGATAAAAGCTGGTACGTTGAAAGAAAGAAAGAAGTATTGGTGAAAATGCAGGATACTACAGAATGAAGTCAAAATGTAAGGAAGAAGTGTAAGGAAAGTGAATGTGTTAATATATTTTGGAATGGATACATTGGTGGATGGCTCTGTTTGATGAGGTAAATCAGAAAAGAAGTTAGCAAGAAATTTGCAAGAATTTTGAAGAGTCTGGAGAGAAAGAAGTTTTTGATTGAATGCAAAAAAAGTGATGGTTTTAAGAATAATGGTCCAGATTTGTGTGTATGGATATGAGGCATGATCTTTGAATGTTACAGCAAGGGGGAGGGTGAAGACAGTGGAAATGTCTTGTCTGGGATCTTCATGTGGTGTGAGTTTTATGCAGAGAATAAAAAATGAAGAAATTTGTGGATGGCATGGCTGTAGAAAGGTATACTTCAAAGAGCAGAACAATGGTTATTGAAATAGTTTATTTATGTTGATAAACTAGACTAGAATCTAGAGTTAAGAGGGTGTAGAAATCTGAGGTTAATGGGAAGAGATGTAGGGATACCTGAGAAAGAATTGGAGGGAGGGCATGGAAGAGGTAAAATGCATTCATTGTAAAAGTTGGATATGAGGGTTACAGTTTGGAGGGTCAGTGCAGGACCTCAACATTTATGCATATTACACACCCTCCTTTCAGTCTTACCTCAAATGTCTTTACACCTTCTGTCCACTTCTGCTTCATAAACCCTGTTGATTAATCTTTCTATAATTGTACATATCCAAATAAAGCAAAACATATCTTTGCTGATAGTTGTTTAAAATATGTGATAGGCTTGCAAGGGTCTGTCCTCATAATTAACACCTGTTTAAGGGCTAAAATGGAAATCTATAAAAATGAGGTAATCTTAACTAAAGTTTTATTTCTAGGTGCCACTAGCAGTGAAAGAGCAATACTCAGAACCACCAGATTTGCTTCTCCACCATGGTCCACCCCAACATCTTCTTCCTTCTGTTACTGAGCATGAGACAGAGGCTTCCACTGCTACTACTGTACCTACCACCACTGCCAATAGAATAGCTACCACTTCAGTAACATCATGTGGTACGACTGTATCACCTTGGTTATATCAACAAAACTGGCGAGGAGTTGAAGTGAAGGAAGAGCCCGTTGAAAATTCAGAAATACTTCAGGATAGGCAGGAGGGATCACAAAAAGATGCTAGAGTTGAAGACAAGAGAAATGAAACAGAAAGAAAAAAAGCCAACAAAAGAGGAAATGGATGAGGTGAATTATATACAACTTTTGCTCTGTGTTAATGTTTTCCAGATGCATATGTATTACTGTGTTAGTCTTTGTTGTTTACCTCTTGTTTTATCTTTCAGTGGTTGGCAGGACTGTTATGTTTACAAGCTAGCATTATTAAACATATGGCAAATAATACTGCAAGTGGCCTAAATAAAACACCAGAAAAACAGAGAGCAATGAATGGGCCTACTTGTATAGGCAGCACTCTGGATGCCTCTCCACCTTTAGAACGACCAGGATGTATGAATGGAGACTTAACTTCTCATGACATCAGCAGTAAACATAGTAGATTTGCAGACCCACGAAGACACCAACCAATTATGAACAGTAATTTTCAGCCTCCGCCAACATATCTACCAGCTAAAAAGGGCATATTAAAAAACCAAAAAGGAAAGTAAGTATTGCTTGTTTGTCATTTACAGTACTATTTTGGTAGGATAGTTTTTGGTATTTTTTTACAGTATATTTAGAATATTTTGAATATATAATGCTTATTGATTTCTTGTTTTGGAGAAGGCAATGAGTTTGGTGGAATTGCTTGAGTAAATATGAACTGAGGACAAAGAAAATAAAGAAGCTTATAATATGCACTAATAAGATCAGGATATTAGCAGTTTGGAGGGATATGTTGTGTATCTTTATACGTATATGCTTCTAAACTGTTGTGTTCTGAGCACCTCTGCAAAAACAGTGATTATGTGTGAGTGAGGTGAAAGTGTTGAATGATGATGAAAGTATTTTCTTTTTGGGGGTTTTCTTTCTTTTTGGGTCACCTGCCTCGGTGAGAGACGGCCGACTTGTTGAAAAAAAAAAGATCAAAAATGTTTATTATTCGTTGTTGTTATAACCTTCTTTGACTTTATCATATAAATTATTTTCCTTTAGTGATTTCTGGTATTTAAATTTTTTGTACAATAAATAAATATCACAGTAGTACCAGTTACAGTAACCACTTACCAGTAGATGACTCACTACCAACCATCTGTGTGAATCACTGACTGTTATTCATGTTGCTGCTGACCATAGCATATTTTTTAATGCCTCACCCGCTAGGCACTGGTGGGTCAGTCTGAGATAGGGAGCAGAGAGAGGCAGGTCGGCTGTTGGTGCTTCCCATACTTACCGTTGTAATATTATACGTACAAACCAGCCTACGGAGTATTTTTACCCCATCCACGTGTAGACAGCCTGTACTGTCTGCACAGACAGCCCATGCTGTCTGCCAGCTTAGTTCATATTTCGCGCCACTCAGGTGCTGCCCTCTGTAGCCAGGCCTCTAGGTAGGCACGCCAGCCTGCCGGCCCATGCCTCTCCCTCACTCCTAGGCCGACCGACTTGACAGACACAAGTGCTCCCCCTCCACGGACTGGCTTGCGGTCACTCCCTCACACTGCCCGTTGTGTACTCACTCCTGCCCAATTAAAGCCAAACTAGTCCACGGCCGTATCATTGCTACCTACACTACCTCCATCGGCACTAAACCGTTGTTCAGCAGAAGAACAGAAATAACAGTAGGTAGGCACGCCAGCCTGCCGGCCCATGCCTCTCCCTCACTCCTAGGCCGACCGACTTGACAGACACAAGTGCTCTCCCTCCACGGACTGGCTTGCAGTCACTCCCTCACACTGCCTGTTGTGTACTCACTCCTACCCAATTAAAGCCAAACTAGTCCATGGCCGTATCATTGCTACCTACGCTACCTCCATCGGCACTAAACCGTTGTTCAGCAGAAGAACAGAAATAACACACGTTATTAAACCCACATGACAAATTGGCGATAAGAGGGTAAGCGGCTAGCTGGAGGTGGCAGACTGTTCACCTCTGACCTGCTGGCACCCCACAACCAATCTTCTAATGTCTGAAATACCCTTAAATCCACGCATCCCACCGCTGTCACCAATTTGTCATGTGGGTTCGATAACGTGGATGGGGTAAAAATACTCACGTAGGCTGGTTTGTACGTATAATATATAACGGAAAGTATGGGAAGCGCCAACAGCCGACCTGCCTCTCTCTGCTCCCTATCTCAGACTGACCCACCAGTGCCTAGCGGGTGAGGCATTAAAAAATATGCTATGGTCAGCAGCAACATGAATAACAGTCAGTGATTCACACAGACGGTTGGTAGTGAGTCGTCTACTGGTAACTGTTTACTGGTAACTGGTACTACTGAGAAATATTTTTTGTAGTTTTTTGTTTACTAAGGCCCTTAGCCCTTTCAGGGTCCAAGGCCAAAATCTGAAGTCACGCACCAGTGTCCAAGAAATTTTGAAAAAAAAAAATTATTTTTTCTTACAGAATTAAAGAGCATATTTTTGTGAAGGTAATAAAACAAAAAAAATTAGAATCTGATCAGTACTTACCGAGATACAGTGCGAAGAAGTTTGTAGAAAATGATGTGGTGGCGGCAACATCGACGAATTCCACATACGCGTATTATATTATTTTGTTGTTTTAGTTGTTTTTTCTTTTCTTTTCCAATTTTTTTCTATTCCTACTAACATTTGGGGCCTGAGAGACCAATACTGTATATAATTGATATATATATACTCACTGTATTGAACACAATAACCGCACTAAAGTTATTATCATATTATTGTTTACCACTGTTGTTTATTACAATAAACATGCACAAATCTTGTATAATACTAATGTTCTATCATATATTTACATATTTACAATCACTGGACATGGTTTTAGAACTGCTGGAGCTTGTGGAACTCCTTGAAACAAGGCACCATGCACAGAGGCACCTTACATTCCTCACACATAAACCGAGTGTCTTTGCGTCTTTGTTGCCGTCATTTTGTTTGTGCACAGACAATGCATCTCTTCTGAGCAAATTTCTTTTGAGTTGAAGGGAAGCTGTATTATGAAATGATCACCTTCTCTCCTCAAACGCTTGGGTATATTGTGATGAATTCGAGGACCATGTTGTATTGCAGGTGTTGTTACCTGGTACTTCATTATGAGTTGTCTGACAACAGACAAACAAAATTCACCATACGGTGGTCTGTTACCAGTCTTTATTTGGTACATATTATATGCATTCAGCATTGAAATGTCCATGAGATGGAAGAAAAGTTTCATGTACCACTTGTAACTCTTACGAACACAGTCAACAAAACCAATCTGCTGTCACACTTGTCAACCAAGCGCATGTTTTGTGTATAATCAATCACTGTCACTGGTTTTCGAATACGTTCATTAGTCACTCGATCAACTTTGCCACTGTCTTGCATTTCATTACGGTGAATGGTTGTCAACAATGTGACATCTCGTTTGTCATGCCACCGTAATGCCATGATGTCATTGGCAGTAACACCTGCACGTCATCACCACGAACACCTGCGTTGAGCCTGGGCATATGTTTACGATTAGAACGCACTGTGCCACACACATCTGTCTTGTTCACTCGCATGAAATCACTGAGTAATGGGCTTGTGTACCAGTTATCGGTATATAATGTATGGCCCTTACCAAGATAGGTGCCATCATGTTTCTCACTACGTCACCTGATATACCCAATAACATCTTGGTATCTTTCAATGTTTTACTACCCGTGTATACACAATATCCAACACCAGGCCACTGTCACAATTCACAGAGTACAAACAATTTTATACAAAGCGGTTCCTCTTGCTCGGTATATACTGCTTGAATGACAGTCTACCTTTGAACAAAATCAAAGACTCGTCAATTACAAGATTCTTGAATGGATAAAAGTATATCCTGAACTTTTGTTTGAGATACATGAAAACATTTCTAATCTTGTATAACCTGTCACTTCTGTCAGGCCTGGTTTTGTCAGAGAAGTGCAACATACGTAACAGTAAGATAAACCTGTTCACTGGTATTATTTCACTGAAGGATGGGGTACAAATTAGCCGATCTGTGGACAGTATGCTTTTATATTATGCTTATAGACGTGAGGCATAAGCATTATTGTTGCAAAAAGCAAATACATTTCTGCAACAGTCGTCTCTTTCCACCTGTGTAGTCTTGCACTGTGGTGATAAGATCGTATTTGCCATGGTGTACTGAAAATACCTATTACTTTCCCTGACAATAATTTCCATCAATGGCTGGTCAAAGAATAATTCAAAGAATTCCAGTTCATTGGCCGTGGTTCCAAGGGGACAGGTAGGTAGAATTCCACTTTGAGAGTCATCAAAGTGGTGAGGGCTGGGAACAAAATTGGGATTTTGCTGCCAATCCCAGATACGGTTTGCTGGTGGATACTGGACATCATAGGCTGGTTGTACGGGTGGTTGTGGCGGGCTGGTGGGTGACGCTCCGCTTTGTCCTTGAACTGACGAGTCAGCAGCGTGGGTCCCCGCGTGGCACAGCGAGTCACGCATGGCGGTGCCACTACCACCACCAGCCCCACTAACACCATCCACTGATGTCTGTGGCCCATCCATGCCAAGTGTAGCCACATCATCCTCACTATCACTACCTAAAACGGGTGTAGGGCCACGGGATGTACTCCGGGATGTACTCCGTCCCCTGGGCACAGCATAGGGTACACTACCCGAGCGCATGCGGCAGCGAACATACCGACGCTTCACTGGTGAATAAGTTTCCTCACTATCACTACTCGAATGATCGTCGAGCGCAATAAAATCACAATCCACGTCAGAATCATCGTCATTACTGAAGTCAGAGGCCAGGCCACGGGAAAATATTAGTTTTCTCTTACGTTTAGGAACACCCGACCGTGAGTCACGAGTGCCCACACCAGAGGTAGAAGGTCGAGGATCGTCGGGGTTTTCTGCACTATTATCGATATCCTGGTCATTATTTTCGGTCACTAACTTATCAAAGCCATAGAATTCGTCTTCATTTCCACTTCCATCAGCGTCAGAACTATCAGACAGGAAGAGGAGAGTCCCAATTTTCCGGGGAGTGAGAGCTGACTTGCGACGAGGCATGGTAAACAAGGGTGACTGAGCCGGCGTTCCCACAATGCTATGCAGGCGCCTAGATTTTTTGTTTACGGCGCACACCCACGGCGCAGACCCATTCTCTCATATGTAGGCCTATGAGCGCTTTCGCGCTAAATTTGACGGCGCTAGAATTTTGGCGTAGATCTACGGTTTGGACACTCACCGACCAGCCGTAGATCTACGGGACGGACCCTGAAAGGGTTAGTTACCAACAAGATACTGGACATGTTAGTAAAGAATATTTGACTGTAGTAATGTAAACATTCTGTAATTTCTGTATCTGATTTTTTATATTTTAATGTTTTTTCTCCATAATTTACAGGGGTGTTAATAATTCTGGAACTAAGGCCTCCAAACATAAAAAGCAAACTGCATCTGAAATATTGTCTGAAACATTGACATCCTTAGCTTCCTCCCTTCAAAGTTCTATCACAGGAAAACAAGGTGAGCAACTTGTTTGACATCATTATTGGGTGAAAACATTTAAGCCCTTTTAGGGTGAATGTTATCAGGATAAAAAAATACTTATATGCTTGTTTGTAGTTATAAATGAATTATAAATGGGAGAACATGGAGAACTGTATATACATGCTTGGTGTAAATCCTTCATTTCTCCATTTTGAAATCAAGAGTAGCTGTGTTGTTGAAAGTGTCATTCTCTTGACACAGGTCATATATTTTTTTTTAATTTGCAAGACTTTCACTTAATAAATTGTAATAAAAATCTCTAACCCAAATGAGTCACAAATACCCCTCGCATATCTTGGCTCATACTGGTCTTTCAGTCATGGCAGGATGTTTTGCAGAGTCCGTAAATTAGGAGTTACAGTAGACTGTCGTTTAACATGGTTTTGTCTGGCATGTTTTGGTTATAGCAGGATTGAAGAATTGCGCCACATTTTTTTATAAGACTTTGTAAAATTAACTTAACAAGATTCGCATGAGGGGGAAAATTTTGAGCGCATTGCCCCGTGGGATACAATCTGCTTGGCTGTATTGACTTGACTGACTTACTGACTTTAGTGATTTACTGACTGATTGACTTGACTCACTGACTTGACTGACTTACTGACTGAAATAACAAAAAAAGGGCACAATACCGTGACTGGAACGATACACAAATAACCCGCACATAAAAGAGAGAAGCTTACGACGACGTTTCGGTCCGACTTGGACCATTGACAAAGTCACACTAACCAGAGGGGGAGCAGGACGGCTATATATAGGCAGGAAGAGGTGGTGGTAGTAGTAGTAGTAGTAGTAGTACAGGAATTGTATATAATACCGACAAGATGAAATTAAGACACATGCACAACACCCGGGCATCCCCATCGTAGACGCTTCGCCATCCAGCCAGCCACTGGATGGCGAAACGTCCACAACAAAGACAACCAGACGCCGCACATGTGTCTTAATTTCATCAGTAGTTGTAGGGGTTTAGTAGTAGAAGAAGAAGAGGTAGTAGTAGTGGTAGAAGTGGGAAATAAGGAAGACGAGCCAGTAAAAATACAAAGGAGGAGAGCACTGCAAGAGAGCTAGATCCCCACAGAGGGAGAGCAAGCGCACAGAGGTGCGTGAAAGGGGAAGTGGTGAAATAAATGAAGAAGGAAACAGAAAAACGAGACAGGAGAGAGAAAGACAACAGAGGAGAAAAGGAAAGAGGAAAGGGGAAGAGGAAGAAGAAAAAAAAAGAAAAAAAGGGAAAAAGAAAAAAAAAAAAGAGGATTCAGGTTAAGTCACGGGTGTTCTGAAGTTTGGAGCATTTTACAATGTAGTGGGGGAGGAAGGCATCTACAGAGACGAAGCCAGGGCTAAGGTTCATACAAGGAAAGTTGTGTGTTAGAGAGGATTCAACTAGACGGCGACTGTTCGAGTTGGAAGTAGGGAAAACAGTTTTAGCAGAAGACCAGTCATAGGATGGCTATGATCTCTGACGTGACAGAAAAGAGCATTGTTAGTGTCGGCAAAGCCTAACACTATTTTGTGCTCCCTAAGTCCCGTCAGAAAGAGATCGACCAGTTTCTCTGAAGTATTGGGAAGAGGACAGGAGGGGGCAAGAATAGAGTAGACACCAGGAACATCTGTAGAGGGAGGAGAGGTATGAACGAGATTAGTGCGAAGAGTGTTAGTCTGGCGGAAGGTAAGCTTGATGTCTAAGGACGGAGAGAATTGTTGGATTAGAAAGACCGGGGAAAAGTAGGGAAGGCAGAGGATAGAAGAGTTCCCATGGTAGAGAGTTTGGGAGAGAAGAAATTGTGTTTAGCACGTAAAGGGGCAGAGTCTATGAAATGGGAAGGGTAGCCAAGACGGGGAGAATGAATTATGAAGAGTGGAAATTTCTGCGGGGAAGGAACTGAGGATCACAGATGGGGAGGGCACGGAGAGAAAGAGGGAAGATAAGAACACTTTTCTTGACAGGGGAGCATGATAGGAAAAAGTAGTGAATGTACATGCCACTGTGCATAGGTTTACGGTAAACGGAAAAGGAAAAACCTGAACTGAGGTGGCCCATGGACATCAATGAAAGGAAGCAAGAAATTAGATTCCCATTCAGCTTTAAACTTAATGGAAGGGGCAAGATTATTAAGAGCTTCAAGAAAAGGTTGGAAGAGACTGGAGTCATGAGGCCACAGAGCAAAGATGTCATCCACATAGAGGAGCCAGAGTGAAGGTTGCACATCGAGGGTAGGAAGAAGAACAGTCTTGAAGTATTCCATGTAAAGATTAGCAAGTACAGGAGAGAGAGGAGAGCCCATAGCGACACCGAAGGTTTGAGAATAATATTTCCCTTGGAAGGAAAAGGAGTTAGAGTCCACACAGAGACTGACTGACTTAACTGAGTTACTGACTCACTGACTTGACTGATTTACTGACTGACTTAAAGTTAGACTTTTTTACTGAAGAGGACCCTGAGACAGTGTCTAGAGCAGCTGAAGCCTTACCGTCAGTGTATAATGTACTGGGAGGTAAAATAGAACAGAAATCCATTACAGAATTTATGCACACTCCACTACAAACATTGACTTCAGTACCAGAACCTCTACTATCCACCTCAGCCCAGTAGGGCTGCAGCATAACTCTGCACTTTCCACAATTATCCACACATACCAGAACCCACAGTTTAAGGTAAGAAATACTATTATTTCTGTTCCATTTGTAATCTTAAGCAGTAAAAACAACATAATACATCATGACAGTGAACTACAATTACATATTCACTTTTATTTTTGTAAGATCTGGAGGTCTAAAACAAAAGTTGTTTGGGTTTTTTGGGGCTCCCAGGAACATAACCCTATTTTTTCCATAAGTTCTTAAGTTTGTCTAACACAATTTTAACTAAAATGGCATTTTCAAGAACGTAACTACAGTGTTAAATGGCGGTCTACTGTATCTTGCTTTTGCATCAGGGTGGTGTGATGCCTCTCACAATCAGATCAATCTCTTGGCTTCTTTCATCAGTGGGCTACCCATGACTTCTGGGGAAGATGAATGGGTTTTCTTACCTTTGGCTGTTTAGGGCTTTTAGGATTTTTCTGACTCTAATCTGGTGAAAGACTTATCACTTTCCAGTGTGTGCTTTGCTTAAGGCCATGTTAGGAGATGCTTTTCAATGCAGCTTGTAATTGTTTTTTGCCTACTGCATTCATTACTCCAAGTGGCTGAAAAGGATATTCCCCACCAGTTGGCTCTAAAATTGGAAAATAGAGGGCTACACTACCCAGTAGTAATATAACATCTTATTTTATTAAGATAACAGTCGCTGAAAATTTCAGGTTGATGCAAAGAAATATTTTCAATTTTTTTTTTTTTTTTTTTTTTTTTTTTTTTCAACAAGTCGGCCGTCTCCCACCGAGGCAGGGTGACCCAAAAAAGAAAGAAAATCCCCAATAAAGTAAATACTTTCATCATTCACATTCAAACACTTTCAACCACACTGACATTACTCAGTTTTTGCAGAGGTGCTCAGAATACAACAGTTTAGAAGCATACACATATAAAGATACACAACATATCCCTCCAAACTGCCAATATCCCAAACAACTCCTTTAAAGTGCAGGCATTGTACTTCCCATTTCCAGGACTCAAGTCCGACTATTTGAAGAAATATCGGTTTCCCTGAATCCCTTCCTAAATTATTACCTGCTCACACTCCAACAGATCGTCAGGTCCCCAAGTACACTGTCTCCATTCATCCTATCTAACACACTCACTCACGATTGCTGGAAGTCCGTGAGCCTTGCCACAAAAACTCCTTTACCCCCTCTTCTCCAACCCTTTCGAGGACGACCCTACCCCGCCTTCCTTCCCCTTATAGATTTATATGCTTTCCTGTCATTGCTACTTTGATCCATTCTCTCTAACTGACCAATCCACCTCAACAACCCCTTTCTGCCCTTGACTAAATTCTTTTATAACCCACACCTTTTCCTAATTTCCACACTCCGAAATTTTCTGCAATAATATTTACCATCCCACATTGCCCTTTAAAGGACATCTCCACTGGCCTCCAACGTCTCCTCGCTGGCTGCATTTACACCAAGCTTCAAAACCTATATAAGAGTGTTGGTACTACTATTCTTTTCATACATTTTCCCTTCTTTGCCTCCATAGATAACGTTTTTTTTACTCCACATTATTCCTCAACGCACCACTCACTTTTTTCCTCATCAGTTCTCTATGATTAACATCATCCTTCATAAATACATCAGCCGGACACGGTCAACTCCAAGTACAGTGGACCCCGCCATAGCGAATCGCTTGCATTGCGAACAATCCGCCCCACATAGCGAACGCTTGTGTTGGCTAAAATTTTGCCCCGCATAGTGGACAAAAAACGCTCGCGACCTTCGTCCGAGACGCGTCCAATGTGCGCCCTTCAAGCCAGCCTCACATGTGGCCGTCCCATTGTTTACCAGGCCAGCCTTCCGCGGTAACATTCATGCATACACTCGGGAATATTTCGTATTATTACGGTGTTTTCGGTGCTGTTTGTGGAAAATAAGTGACCATGGGCCCCAGAAAAGCTTCTAGTGCCAACCCTACACCTCAAAGGGTTAGAATACCCATTGAAATAAGAAAGAGATATTGGATAAGTATGAAAGTGGGTACGTATCCACCGACCTTGGCTCAGGTTTTGTACAAGAAAACCAAAATCCATCCATCGCTTCTATTGTGGGCAGGAAAACTCGGCATCAAGGAAGCTGGTTGTTGCCAAAGGTATTAACTTGTGTTTTCGAAACCAAAGATCGCAAGTGATGGAAGATGTTGAGTGACTCCTTATTGGTGTGGATAGATGAAAACAGCTAGCAGGAGATAGGTCTTCAATCGGATCAATGTGAAAGGCTTAGGGAAGTTGCATGCGATTTAATTTAAAAATTGCCTGCAATAGTGATGATGAGAGTGAAATTTAAGGCAGCAAAGGTTGGTTTGAGAGATTAAGAAGC